CGTCTTTACTCCTGATTCACCCTCGGCCAACCCAAGTAACCCCCTACCACTTCACAACTTTTTCTCACTAAACCGCTCCGCCCCGCGACATAGTGGTGACCACCGCAGGGGGTATTGACATTGCATCCATTGTGCACCCTACACGTCTCCCAAAGTGTCTTCATTCTCCCGCTCACCCTCTCTGGACTCCAACTTCTCGTCTGTCTCGCTGGACGAACAGATCCGAAACTTATCGATCACTAACAGCATGACATCAAGATCATCTCCTCGACCCGGTCCCAACGAAGCGGGACCATCTCGGTCGCAACAACCCGCACCTCTAGCTATGCCCGAGGCGCACCCTTCAGTGACTAACCTTCCCCAGTACGTCACAACCCATCCTCAGATCGAGAATGGCCCAGGATCCAGCCACATCATGAACACTCTATGCGAACATCTGTACGAATGGCCGGCACAACCTGCACCAACTCGCCCTGACCCGATGGTTCCAGAACCATCCTACGAAGAAGAAATCCCCGACCCTGAGCACCAACGAAGACACGCTCATCACCGACCCCAACACAGGCATCGTCAAGCACCAACAAGAGACCAGGTAAGTACCGATGAAGAAGCAGCCAGTAGGCCCCGCAACGCGAACCGTTCACGACAGCAAGCTCAGCGGTCGGACAGCCGGCCGCGCCTCAGTCTTTCCGAAGCGCGCCAGCTGCTTCAGCCTCGCAACGCACAGGATAATCGTACTCGCAACGCACAAGACAATCGTACTCGCAACGCACAAGACAATCATACTCGCAACGCACAAGACAATCATACTCGCAACGCACAAGATAATCGTACCCGCCACGGGCGGCATAGGGGTAGGCGATCGCCCAGCCCATCTGATAGCAGCTCGAGCTCCGACTCGGAAACTTCGGACGATTCGGACTCTAGTCCTCGACCTCATCATCGACACCATCGAAGTCACCGGCGGAGACGCCCTACTGTAGTACAGACCTCCTCGAATGATCCCTCTTGGGATCAATACATCATAGATCGGGGAGGGGAAGAATACAAGCCCCGAGGGCATCGCGCACCAACCGTGATCAATCTCCCACTAGCTGGAAAGTCTGGAGCGCCCAGTAAGTTCCGAGGCGACTTCAACAAAGTCAAACGATGGCTTACCGTCTTTGAGGAACTGTGTTTCAAATCGGGAATCTGGGAACAAGAGCAGGTCTGCAAGGCCGTGTTGAAGTACTGCTCGCAGAATGTCGCCGATGTCATTGAAGCGACCGTCCCGTTCCAAGAAAGTAACTGGCGAGAGCTGCGTAAGGAGATTGAACACTTATACGATGCAGAGTTCAGAGACGAACGGTACCAAGACGCGGACTTGCGTAGTTTCACCCTCAAAATGCGCAACTCCACCATGGGTTCACTGCAGTCGTACAAGAGGTATAAACGTGAGTTCTTCTGAAGAGCAGGGAGAATGCGCAAGAACGGCACCCTCTTACAGCGGGACTTCCTGATGAGGTTCTGGGAAGGCATTCACCGCGACCTGCGAAAAGACGTGCGCGACCGTCTATTGATCCATCACCCGGATCATGATAAGAAAGTCCCATGGGAGATCAAGGATATCGACGAGGTCGTAGGGATACTCTTGCGAAGAGGCGACCTCGATAACGACTTACGGGACGATCGCGACGAGGATAGCGATGCTGCCTTGAGCGAGGACGAGTTCTCTTTAAGCGAGGACAGTAGCGACGATGACAGCAGCGACGACGGAAACAAGAAGAAGAAGAAGTCCCCGAAAAAGAAGAAGAAGGTCCCGCGCGAGCCGAACAAGAAGACTCCGAGCAGTCGAGTGGCCGCACTGCAAGCAGACCTAGCAGCAGAAGCGTCTGCCAAAGTCAACAAGAAGTCTCAACGCGAGCTCGAAGACATCCTCGAGAAGATGTCGGCCTTACCACGAACCGATCCCCAGTACTCAGTACTGTACTTCAAGGCGAAGAGTCGGGACGAAAACATCCAGCAGATATGGCCACCGCCCATTCGAGATCAAGACCCATCAACATCTACAACGAACACCAAGATCAAACCGGCGAGGTCCTTCCTCGCACAGACGACAGCGGGTGCAAGCAGTAGCACTCAGCGGGAACCACCTCCGCATCAGGACCCGGCGCGTAGGCGATGGGCCGAACGCGGTCAGACGAGCGACCAAGGCTGCTTCGGCTGTGGCACCGAAGGACATCGGGTAGGCGAGTGCCCGGAGATCGCTAAACTTCTGCGTGAAGGCGTGGTTGGCTACACCAACGGTAGACTAACCCACAAAAGTGGGCAGCCGATCAGACGAAAGGGAAACGAGAAGTTGGCAGCAGCCGCCAGGCGAGAGCATGCTGCTCTCAGTGGCGCAAACGTTCCCGAGGCTTCTAGCTCGATACCTACCCTCAAGAGTAATTTCATTAGCATAATCCCGGACGCATACATCTCCGAAAACTCCGTGAACTCCGAGGAGGAGAGCGGTAGCGAGAGCGAAAGCGGTGACGACGAGAGGGGCATTGTGGCGCTCGCCACTATTAACGATGAAGGGACGGACAGCGACGCGAGCGACGTAGTCGTCATGAATGTCGCTGAGACCGAGAAAATCAAGAAAAATAAGCATTCGGCCGCGTCTACAGGCCACCGCACTCGCTCGAGTACGGGAGCACAGCTGCATAAGCCCAGCAAGGACCCTGAGGATTTCGAGATGAAGGCGCGTCAGCGCGGCGGAAAGACCGCGCCGCGTATCCCCGGCGAGGTAAGCGGACACCCACGCCCAGCCGAGAAGAAAGGACCAGCGAGGTCTCGCAAGTCCACGAGAATAACGGCCGAGGAGCCGCAATACGTACCGCACGTCGAGGACCTGCCCATGAGGGACCTCGAGGACGACGATAACTTCCTCGAGGACCCGGAGGACTCAGACCCTGCACCAGAAGTGACAGAGGATCCTGTCACGCTCAAGGCCTTAGCCGAAAGGGTTGAGGAGGGCGCGCAGACCCAGAAAGTGGCCCAGCGGGCAGCAGAAATACGAAAAGAGAAGGCGCGCGAGACGCGCCATGGTGGTGGTGAGATCGAAAAAGTTAAGTCGCGTCCGCGCGCGACACCGCTTTCGGCAACGGCCGACAGAGAAGATGTGTTGGACAACGTGTTAGACACGTCCGTCACCATCTCCTTCCGCCACCTCTTAGCTGTCTCCGACTGGGCACAAGGCCAACTGGCGTACCTATGCAAGAAGCGCGCGTTCGACCAAGCCAGCAAATCCGCACTGGAAAAGGCGGGACCGCGGGTAATGCTCGCCCAACTTGCCGCGCGCGGCTTAGCCGCAATGACACGCGCGTCCACCCGAGGAGAGCTCCTCGAGTTCGACATCCAGTGCAATAACACGGTGGTACGTGCACTGCTCGATACCGGCTCCCAGTTGAATCTAATGACGGGAGAATTAGCCGACCGCTGCATCACGCAGCCCGTGGATCGTCAAGCAACCGTTCAGCTAGAAGTGGCGAACGGCGACAGGGCCAACGTCACCGGCCTCATTCACGACGTACCGCTTCGGCTTGGGCCGAAAATCAAGACGAAGGCGAGTATCTTCCGCGTCGATTTTCCCGTCAAGTACCAACTGCTCCTAGGACGACCGTGGCAGCGCGACCACTTCATCAACATCGAGGAGCGGCTGACGGGTACGTACCTGGTGCTACGAGACGTTCACGACCGGATCGCTTATGACGTTCTAGTCACGCCCGTGTCTAGGGAGACCGTCTACGACCGCGACGGGAAGATGTTAGTAGATACGCCGAGGGCCCGCGCCCATTTGGTACGGATCAGAACACCTCCGCCCGCGAACGAGATGGTGGCTGACCACCCGCTACAGGATCCCCATCTATTGGCGCACCCTCTCCCAATAGCTTACGAGCTCGAGGGCGAACCTTCAGACGAGCAGGCCGACGCTCGCTCTGTGACAACCTCGGCGACAGACGAATTGAACGAGGGACGCGCGCCGAGTCCTGTCTCGACGGACGCACAAGAACGCGGACTTGAGGTACGCCTCGCACGACCAGCTGCGGCTGACGAGGTCGATGCTGAGCTGCTGGACGAGGAGGAGGGGACGCGTAAGCGTTTGAGGCGTATAAAAACAGAGCGGGGTGAGCGGTTCGACTTCAGAAACCGCAAACTCATCGACTTACCACTTCCTCAGCTCAACTCAACTCCCTTGCACCCCTACTCCGCCCTTACTCTCGCGATCTCACCGTCTCCCGCTTCATTCGCCGCGCCGCAGGTCGACGCAACCCGTTCGTACTTCCCTTCCCTGAGTTCTGGGGAAGACCGCTCACTTTCGTCCGTACAGAACCTTGATCCCGTAGTCTCGCTGGTCGACGGTCTCTTCGCCACCTCTTCCGCCCAAAGGTTCTCTTGGACACCTCCTGTTCTGTCGCGGGTCGACGCTCCTCCGCAATCTCCCTACGCCGAGCCTAGGTCTCAGCCACCCGCCCTTCCGTTCACCTCGCCAGACGAGGAAAGTCTCAAAACTTTCGCGCCGCTGGTCAACGGTGCCCCGTCTCTGCCTGACATCTCTCCGTCTCGTGCCAACTCCCTCTCCGACACCTCGCTAGCCGAGATTTTCGGTACGTATGAGCGAACAACCGCAGACGCTCGAGCTTGCCTAACCGAATTTGGACAGCTTCTGCCCGCTCGAACCTCGCTCCCGTCTGACTTCGCTCCTACCGCCTCGCTAGCCGAGCCCTTCCGTACGTACCAGGAATTCACTCAGCTGGAAGCCAGCCTAACGATTCCCAGGAATATCTCAACACCCTTGCCACCGGTGGGCACGCTCTCCGCCTCGATAGTACTTCCTGTACGTGAGAGATTCGGCGTTTCGAACAACCGTACTGAGCGGTTCTTCGCGCAGCTTAAATCGTTCATCCTCAAGCTACCCGACTCATCGTTCAAGACACGTTCCCCTTTGTTGGGTAAGTTGCTATCGCAACCACCCTCGCGCTCGCAGCACTCACACGAACAAATCCTGTCTAGTTCGTCATCCGCGCTGAGCGTCACTTCAAACATACTCGCCTTCCCGTCCAATATGTTTACCAACAATCCTTTCGCCCATACGCCTCTGCCCGTGTCCACGCACACGACCACGGTCCTCTCGCTGTCCGAATGGCTTACCGGCACTCCCGCTATCCCTCACCCTCCTGATCCCGAGGGTAGGGAAGTCTACCGCTCAGGCGCTAACTTCGAGCCTCACCGGACGTTCGACATGGCCCGCCGCTGCACCGATCCGGACGCCGACCCGCCTCTCGGGCTCGACGCGGTGTACAATAATTCGGTGCGGGTGGTGTCCCCGCGTAGCTTCATCATCAGCACTCGGGAATTAGTCGACGAACACTCGGGCGAAACGAAGGCCATCCTCGAAGCGGTGCTCATCAACCCGCAGATCGTGCTCGATACGGATACCTCCGACCTGCACACCTCGGCCGCGTGGGCCGGCTTTTCTGCCCAGCTGGGCGACTTCAAGGAACCGGATACGCTGCGCTCGGACCTCCGCGTGCGCGGGATCCTCTTCGTCCAGTTCGCGGTCCCGTGGCAGCTCGCGCGCGAGTACCCTCTCTTCGGTAAAGAACGACGCCCGATGGGTCGCGAGCTTCTCGCCCCGCTTCCGCCCGAGATCCCCGAGTGGCTTCCTCGCCTCGTCACCACTATTCCCGGGCTGGAGGCTACGCCTTTCGTCCGCGACTTCTGGAACGTCGTCGCTCGGTCTCAAGGCTGCCTGGCCAACGACCCCGCCGCCGCCATCAAGCTCATTTTCAACCAAAGCCGGCACATCTTCTCCGCCGACCCCGCTTGCAACTTCAACGGCCTGCAGGCCCTCGACATCGTCCTTACCCAAGGTAACTTGGAGGTTACGCTGGACGACCACGCGGTCGACCTCGACGTTGATGGCGCAGTCGGGCGGTTGATGTACACGACGGCGCTGGAGATGGCTATCGAGCACAGTTTAGAGAGCTGTGATCCGTTCTCCAGTACGCCTAGGATCGTGATCCCCCACGGGCTGGCGCAGAACTTGCGACAAGGTGAGGCGATGGCCTACCCGCGAATAGACCCTCCGACTTACAGCCGACGTCTAGCGCCGACCTTCGCCGCCATGAAGTATTATCCCGACCGGCTCTCGCACAGTCGCGCCACCTTTTGGAAGGCCGCGCCGCCCTTCAGAGCGACGACGTACTCGGAAAGGCAAGCCGCAGCTTCTGATCCCCGCCCATTGTTCCCACACTTACTCCCCCCGTACAGCACTGAGCGGATCACGCGCGATCCTATGCGGGTGTACCAGGAGATTTCGCGTCTCAACCGGGAACGCGGTGGCGATACGACCACGTACCGTGCGGACCAGCTCGAGATACCGTTCATCGACGGAGACTGGTCGGCCTTGCAGCCTGCGAGCACTCCCTCCTCGTCATGGGAGGATGCGCCACTCACGCTCGCCAGTCGCTACGGACCGTTCTCGCTCGACCCTGTCCCGCTGGAGGTGGAGGGCTGGCTTAAGGAGCACGACATTCGCCCCGAGGATGCGTCTCTGCGCCAGGTCCTCTATGTGATCGCGGCGAAGTTGGTCACCAATTTCAAGATCGCCACCTTCGAGCGGTTGGTGAACGACCTCGGTCGCTCGGACGGTATCCTCGCTTTCGTCCTGCGCGCCCACCACGCTCACGAGCATCACGCCGCCACCCACCCCGAGCAGCTCAAGGAGGAGCTGTACCGTGAGATCAACGGCCTCATCACCTGCGTGATGTTCCGCGCCGGCGTCCTCCTTATCCAGGAACCGAAGCGCCTCACCTACCGTATCCTCGACACGGCCGAGCGGGTGCTCCCGGAGTTCGCGGCCGATCTGTGGGGGTTCGTAGAGCACGCCAATCAATGCGCGCCATCCGTCCTGAAGGGAGGATCGTCGGGCAAGCTCACTCGGTCGCCCAACGAAAGCGTCTTCGCCGACGACGTGAACTTCTGGATGCTCGACGTAGCACCTGCTGTCCCCGTCGCGCCCGTCGACCCGACCGCCCCGTCCACTCCCACGACTCGGGACTTCCCGATGACGTTCGAGCCCAACGATCTCATGGACACCCCATATACGCCGGTCGCGCCAGCACGGTATCCGGACGACACACCTGCAAGCAGCAGCGCTTCGGACTTCGCCTTGCTCCAGTCGCCTACGAAAGAAGGAGAGAAGGAGGAGAAGGATCGGCCGGAAGTGGAGGAAGGAGATGTGGTCGAGGACGAAGAATTCGGGACGTTCGCGGGACAGGATCTCCCCGGCGCCATCGGCATGTCCTTTCTGGAAGAAGAGGATCAGTGGCAAGCCCTTTCGGTACGTTGGGGTTTAGAAGGCGCCTTCTTTCGGCTCGCTGACAAGGCACACCGCCGCTCGTTACAGAAGCAGCCCGTCGCACCCGTGCAGGTGCAACACATGCTGGCACCACCGCCCGATTGCGAGCCGCAGTCGCCGAGCGCGCCGCCGTACGAGGGATATAGCACAAGCACGTCTCTGGAAGCTGCAGCCACTGCAGTAAACCCGCCGCCGCTTGATCCGTACGTATCGTTGTCGTCGCCCGATCCCGGCATGGATACTGATCATGCCTCTAGACCGCGAATCGAGGCGCCTCCGTCGTTTCCTGCCTTCCCTCCCGCCTCGGAGGGAACACATTCCTTTCGGGAGCAGGATTGGCCCTTTCGAGACGCCAACTCCTTTCGCGACGACCGCGCGGACCATTCTGGAACGGTATCAGTCGACACGGGCTATGCCGCCACCGTATCCCCCACCGTATCGCAGGCGGGAGCATGGGCCGTTGGCAGTGTACCTGCTGCGCCGCCTTCAGGATCGCCCACCGACTCCACCACCGAACCCAGTGGCGACGGCGAGCGCGTCCAGCACCCGGACCAACTACTCGATCCAGGCTCCACCTCCGTACACGACTCGTACGATACGACGAGTGCCCCGGCTGTGGCAGAGCCGCTTCAACCCGGTACCGACGACTACCTCGTCGAGTACGAGCAGCAGCTCAGGTCCCAGCTCTCCAATACGCTCGCCCCGACACCCCAGCCGCTCTCCGCGTCCGCCTCCTCAATGCCCCAGCTCGCGAACGGGCACCTCGAACATACGGGTGTACGTCGTGAACCGATACGGCGTCCCGACACACCCGCGCCGTTCGCAGAGCCCCGTGCTCGCCGCGTCGTACCCGCCATGGTCCCCATTCTGGACGATAATAACCTTATTGGCGGCGCTCTGGGTCTCCGTGGTCTGCCTGATGGTGTGCGGTATGCGCTGGCGGGAGCTGACCAATGGCGGGTCACCTCCATCGAGCTCCTCGTAGAGCTTCGGGATATCCTCGCGCGTGTTCAGACGCGCGGCTACTCCGAAGTAGAGCTCTATGCGTACGGATTCCTCTCGCGTCTACGTCACAGCGTCACCTCTTCGCCCACTCCCGCCGACGACCTCCGCGTGATACAGAAGGATCTGGACGAGCTCACGGGAGGAGGCGAGGGTTTCTTCGACTTCCTGAACGAGCTGTACGCGAGGGTGCAGCACCTCGATCGTGGCATAATGGACAGCGAGCTCCCGGTGTCCGAGCCGAGTACGCCCAAGTTCAACGACTACCGCCTGGACACACGGCCCATGGGGTTGGTTCTGGAGCCGCCTCCTGGCATCCCTCGCTCAAGGTCTACAACGCCGTCGAGCATGCCCTCGCTCGAGTCGGTGTCAGACACGTCGTCGTCGGCCCTCTCCAGCCCGCTGCATACTCCATCGGATTCGGACGCCTCGTTCGATGCGCCTCCGCCACCACCGCCGAACACGGTATCGGACTACGGCAAGGATCGCCCGCTCAACCCAAAGGCTGCGGAGTTCATTCCTCAAGCCCCAGTACAGGTGTTCTCGGTGCGCGTACCTCCTCCGCGCGACGCGGAGATTATCAACATCTCGAGCGACACGGACGAGGATAATCGGTATGTCCGCACTCGCTATTCCTTTCGGGGCGACGCTCAAAGCTTACCAAGCCCGACCCACGCACAGCCCAACTTCGCGACGGGGCCCTACACCCCCGAAGTCCTACAGGCTGTCGGCGCAGTCCTCGCCCAGCTCGTCGCCCAGGCCAGCAGTCCGGTCGTCGACGCCACCTCGCATTCCGACCCCGACCGAGCCGCTATCGAGAGCCGAGATGGAGGCGTTCAAGCCGCTGTGGGATCAGCTGCATCCCGCCGTTCAGATACGGTTCCCGTTTATGATGAAGCTCGCAGCACGCGAAGCGGCCAGGAAGGACGAAGCCAGGCCACCTCCCGCCGCGCCATCCGGGACTCATCCGTCGGAGCCTACGACCTCGACGATCCCATGGAAAGTGATCGTGAAGCGCGAGAAGAGGAGGAGGAATCGGCGAGCACGGAAAGCTCGAGAGAGGGGTACGTACGGCCAATCAAGAAGCCGCGCATCCACTTACTCCCACCTAGCGAGTCGCGACGCCGCACTCTCCGCCCCACCCGTGGCCGCCCACATACGCCAGGCCGAGTACCGCCCCGACTTCATAACTCGCTTGTCAAGCACCGACGGGCCGGCTGGTCTCCCGTCTCATCGCGAGGCTCGAGCCCTAGTTCTTCGGCGAGCGATAAATCCTCCGCCCGCTCCCGCAGAGCCTGGCCGCCGTTTCTTCAAGCAACTTCGCCAGCCCAGCGATTTCCGGCCGTACCGGGCGTCACCATTGAGGACAGCTTCATCGCCTTCGACCGAGAACACCCCGCCTTCGTCTTTCGAGCAGGAGAACCGGTCTCGCTCACGTTTCCCGCTCTCCCGAATCGGGGCCACGCGGCGTTTCGAGCACGCCTCAATGTCGAAGCCGGGCGAGTCCACGTACCCGCCGAATTCCTATCCTGGGTCGACGCCAACGTCCCGGACAGTGGAGCCTCGAGTATTGTACACATCCACGCCGTCCTCATCCGCCAACTCGCGCTCTACATCGTACAAGCCGCCGTACGATACTTCTCCGCCGAGGTCGACTCCGCAACCCTCCCAAGCGACGCCGACCGCCGGGACTTCGAAGACGCCCTACTACGCTCTCCCTTTGGCGTACGCAGCCCCGCCCGCCTCGACACTCCCGCCGCCCGAAATGTCTACCTCCGCCGATCCGAAATACGGTTCCTCGAAGCCCTCGCCGTCTACCTCATGGGCTCGGGAAGGCAAAGCTATGCCGCCGCCATCATCTCCATCCTCGTATTCGATGCGCCCGGTTCTTGGGCCATCAAACCTCTCCTCGCCGGCTTCCTCCTCGACGACTTGGACTTCCCGGGCCGCCTCCACTCCTACGAAGCACAACTCCACCGACTCGCAAATGTCATGGAGTTTGCCACCTCGCAGTAGGCGTCGAACCGATCGGGTATGTCTGGCCGACATTCTAAGCAGGCGAAAGCTGACTCCGGCTGCAGATCTTCGGGACGGTACCACCCGAGCACGTCGAAATAGTTCTGTAAGCAAGTTCGGGTACGTGAGGACTTCTGACCCGGTCGGGACATTCACTCACAGTATGCCCCAGCAACTCGTATCTTCATCGTCAGCCAGCACATCGCCCTGTAGTCGCTCTCCCCGCCCTTCCTTCGTTTTGACTCCTCCCGCTCGTGACATTCCCTGCCTCCCTCGCCCTCTCGTCTCGCCTCGATCTACGTATTCCAAATCCAAGTCTGTCCGCTCGGGCCTGGTGCCGAGTTGTGTGCCCCGTCCTTCATCCTCCTCGCCTACGATTATCCCCATATGCAAACTCCTCAATCTCGTTTCGTCATCTACGGATTGTTTACCCTATGCACCATTCCTTTCACTTACCCCTTCGTACGATGAGACTCATGATCCGCCACCTTCGACCCTGTCCCCTTCGTCGCTGATAGCAGATTCGTCAATGCATGTGCTTTCATCGAACTTGGTGCGAATAGTAAGCCCGCCTCAAGCAACTCCCGACTCCGCTAGCGAGGAAGAGCTGGAGCAGCCAGCACCTGCGACCAAGGCACCCTCAGCTTCAGGATCAGCAGCGAAAGCACGCGCGCGTCAGACTCGGAGTTCGCGTGCGGCGCCCATTCGTTCAAACACTACCAAGGCCAACATACAAGTAATGGGCGCGTATAAGCCGGTCGACCGTAAGATACGCCCCGTACCTGGGATATTCCCGCAAGAGGCAGCCGTCGAACGCCGAATACCAGAAGACCCGCTGCTTTCGCTACCAACACTGCCAACACACCCGCCGGATTTCGAGCCCACCGAGCGCCTCACACGCGAAAGGCTGGAACTCGTTAAGCTCAACGAGGATGGTTTCCTGCTACCCGAAGAGGTCAAACTCTTCGAATACATCTTACGGCTATGCGACAAGTCGCTGGCATTCAGTGACGAAGAACGAGGTACGCTTCGTCAAGATTACTTCTCGGATTATATAATCCCAACCGTACCGCACATCCCTTGGACTCACAAAAATATACCCATACCTCCAGGGATCGAACCTCAAGTCATCGACATGCTACGCGAAAAGATACGAGCAGGCGTATACGAGCCCGCCCAGTCCAGCTATAGGTCGCGATGGTTCTGTGTGGTCAAGAAGAACGGTAAGCTCCGCATCGTGCACGACCTACAAACACTGAATGGTGTTACGATAAAAGATGCAGGAGTGCCGCCTCACCTAGATCACTTCGTGGAGAAGTACGCGAACCGAGCTTGCAACACAGTGTTTGACTTGTTCTGGGGTTTCGATGCTCGGCGCATACACCCAAAAAGTCGCGACACGACCGCTTTTCAGACTCCGTTGGGCGCCCTTCGGTTGACGGCAATGCCCATGGGCTTCACAAACTCGCCCGCTGAGTTCCAGAATTGCATGGTCTTCATCCTGGGACCGGAAATCCCAGACGTAGCTAATATATTTATTGACGACCTTGCCATTAGAGGACCCGAGACTACGTACCCCGATGCAGAGGGAAACCCGGAGTTGTTGGAAGCAAACCCAGGTATAAGACGCTTCATCTGGGAGCACGCTCACGATGTCCTACGAGTAATGCATCGTATCATGTGTGCGGGTGCCACGTTCAATCCGCTTAAGGCTCAGATCGCTAGGAAGGCCGTAGTGATACTCGGACAGACCTGCACGCCCGAAGGGCGCCTAGTCGAGCGCCAGAAAGCAGAAAAGATATCAGAGTGGCCTACTCCGCGCAACCCAACTGATGTCAGAGGATTCCTGGGCCTGTGTGGAACAGTGCGGATCTGGATAGCAGACTACTCACGCATCGCGCGACCTCTCACCGCGCTCACTCGGAAAGACATAGACTTTGTTTGGAGCGATGCGTGTCAAGAAGCCTTCGATAAGCTCAAGGAGAAGGTAACCGCAGCTCCCGCACTTCGATCGATTGACTACACGTCTCACCGGCCGATCATCCTTTCAGTCGACTCAAGCCACATAGCAGTAGGGTTCATTCTTTCGCAACTTGATGAAGAAGGGCGCCGCAGGCCAGCACGCTATGGTTCTCTCCCAATGGGAGATACAGAGAGCCGCTACTCTCAGGCTAAGTTAGAACTGTATGGACTCTACCGAGCGATCAAGGCCTTCTCAATTTACTTGGTAGGAGCTCATCCACTATTTGTTGAGGTAGACGCTGCATACATCAAGGGCATGCTCGCTGCGCCCGACCTACAACCATCAGCTTCGATCAATCGATGGATTCAAGGGATCCTCAACTTCGACTTTACGCTTGTACATGTACCCGGGAAGGAGTTCTCAGGGCCCGATGGACTGTCTAGGCGCACTCCCAACCCATGGGATTTTGTATCGGAGGACGTAGAAGATACAGAGAACTTTGTGCTATATGCAATGCCTGGAGACCCCATGCGAACGTTCAAGCCCAGTCGGGAGCAGCCTGTGCCATATGTACGCGCTGCTACTTCAGAAGTGACGAGTGCTGTTTCAGCTGTACATGTATATGCTGCCCGTGTAGACAGCCAGCTCAGCGACATTCTGAGCTACCTCCGCGACAATCGCAAACCAGCCTGGATATCTAGTGACAAAGAGCAGCGCCAGTTTGAAGCCAAGGCAATTCGCTTCTTCATTCGCGATGACGCACTCTTTCGCAGAAGGTTGGGACGGATACCGCAGAAGGTCATATTTGAACAGGATACCCGAAGAAAGATCCTTGAAGGTGCGCATGAAAGAGCCGGCCATCGAGGTATAGAGGCAGTCACACAGACAGTGAAACTCCGATTCTACTGGCCGGACCTTGAAACCGATGTTGCCAACCATGTCAAATCATGTCATGAATGTCAGATTCGGCAAACAGCTCAGTGGAAAATCCCACCCACTGTCTCAGCACCCACGCGGATATGGGAGAAGGTGTACATCGATGTCATGTTCATGCCCAAAGCCCAGGGCTATCGCTACATTGTGGCCGCTCGTGATGATCTTACTCGTGTAACAGAAGGCCGCGCACTTCGGACGCTCTCTGCCAAGAACCTGGCCAACTTCTTCTGGGACCAGATATACACCCGGTATGGTGTGATCTCTCAAGTAGTAACTGACAACGGTAGTGAGGTACAGAAGGCCTTCGCCTGGATGATGGAGCGGTTAGGTGTCCCACACGTTCACATTTCACCTTACAATCCCCGCGCTAATGGAGTCGTAGAGAGAGGACATTTCATCCTCCGGGAAGCCATAGTCAAAGCTTGCCAAGGAAAGATAGAGCGATGGCCAGAGCATGTGGCAGCAGCACTATATGCGGATCGTATCACTGTCTCACGCCAGACAGGTTATTCCCCCTACTTCCTGTTACATGGTCGTCACCCCACATTGCCCATGGACCTCACCGAAGCAACGTTCTTGGGCAGACCCTTTAGTTCGCATATGACTACGGAGGACCTTCTCGCATATAGAATCCGCCAGGTCCAGCGTCTACCTGCAGATCTAGAAAAGGCGGCCGCCTGTCTCAAGGGGCATCGTTTACGTTCAAAGGCTCAATTTGAGAAGCAGTTTCGCTTGCGCCTCATGACAAAGGTGATGAACCCTGGAGCTCTGGTGCTCGTAGCTAACTCTTCAACCTTTCGATCACTCAACAAGAAGGCTAAGCCGCGCTACATAGGCCCATATCGTGTGGTGCGCAGAAATCCCCAAGGCGCATACATCCTATGCGAGCTGGATGGAACAACCATCATGTCAAAGTTTGCAGCCATTCGTGTGGTGCCGTACATCGCTCGAGACCCTGATGCAATTCGCGCGCTCACCGCAGATGAAACGCCACAGGATCCCACACTAGAAAAGGATGTTCTGGAACAGGCACTTACGGACGACTCAGAAAGTGAGACAGAGGATGAGACCTCAGACGAGTCCGAGTAGCAACCGAGGACGGTTGCAGTTTCAGTATGCCCCATATGTCGCGCGTAGATTTTTTATCTTATGATTCATGCCAAAATAGCATATTTGTGATGCCGCAAAGGAGAGCGCCCATAGCCAGGCCCAGTCCATCATCCGTCAAAGAAGTCTCCCTTGATAACAATATTTAGGTGATGAGTGGCGTGGGGAGAAGATAGAAGTTCACCTTCGATTAGCGCTGATGGGGACCCCACCCAGTTAAATACCTGTAGAGAAGCGCTGGCACTTTGACCAGAACCAACATGCGCTCTCCCGGTCCTACCCAAGACCTCACCAGTGAGGTATCCTCGCTGCGTAGCTCTCCGGCTTTATCTGTCCGCTCGTTATCCTCCTCTAGCTCAGGCGCTGCTCCACCGCCCTCGGAACAGGGTGGTCTCAGCGCATCGGTCGCCAGCGTTATGGGTATCCCACCCGCTCCGTTCATACCTCAGGCCCCAGCAAGCCCGCCCGGTCTTTCGCGCAGGTCGCCCTCGCCTACCTCCGCTCGCTATGGCCCCCTCATCTCGCTCGACTTCGTTGTTTTCCTCCAATGGCTCATGACGAACCTGGACCAGCGCGGGATGCGTCAGGCTCTCTTCTGGCTCCTCTCGCCCATTGGCGTCTGCCTCGTGCACCCGGGCTCCATCATCATCCATCGCCTTCGTCCAGGATTCGAGTGTTATGGCCGCGTCACTACATTCCTCATGAAGAGTTGCACTGAAGCGGTCTTCCAAATGCGTGTGTTGGGGTGGCAGACCACTCGAGGCTGGTGCGCGCCCGGAGGCGATCTGTTCTCCTACCTCATTGTTCCCCTGGCCCGATGCCCGCGGGAGTACTCGCAGACAGGATGGAACTACTTCCACTACGCGTTCTCGCTTCAGCAGCACGTGGTGGACATCGTTCACAACGTACGCGCTATGCTCGATGGCCAGCTCAATCCGACCGTTGGCCACGTTGACTGGGCCACCGCCTGGTTCATGCTCACCCACCTCACCATGCCAGCCGTCCGGGCATTCGAGCCCAGCATCAGCAACGGCCTCACATTCATGGCGGACGATCTCAGCACTCCGCTTCGCCAAGGAATGGCGATGCCGCCACCAGGCTTCAACCCTAACGGTCTGGTGAGTATCCTGGTCTAGCCCAGCGTATGGAAGGGACTCAACGATTTAGTACAGCCTCCATACCTATACCCCAGCGCTTGGGAACGGTTCGCTGCAGGCTCCGCAGGGAACAACGCGTAGGAGTCGCACCAAGTCACGTCCATACACCTCCCGTCCGCTTCCTCGTCACCGTGCGCACTTGGACTTGCGTCAATTGTGGACTACCCCTCCAGCCGTACCCAGGGAAGACCACGAGGAGGAAGAGGAGGAGGAGGAACAGGAACAGGAGGTCCCACTTCCCCCAGGTCGCTTTTCTTTGAATCCTAGACTGCTAGCCCGATCGATGTCTCCGTGCTCTCCGACCGTATGCCCATTGCCCCGCGCTATCGTGTATCGTCCCTTTTGCTCCCGCTGCCGCTACTATACCACTCGTCCGTATCCTGCTTTACCTATCCCCAGCGCGCATGCATCAATATCATTTCATTGGACTCAACCCAAATAGACGCGCGCACCAGGCCAGATATTAACAGGCATAGATCATCAGGGCACCCCCTAAGATAGGGTCTGATGACATCACTAAGAACGATCTGGATCAAGATAAGCCAGGCCAGCCAAAGAAGGCAGTACGGAATGGCCCGGAAGCAGACGGAACATTTCGGAAGCAGACGGATCCAAGTGGATCTGACCGGAGAATAAGTTAGTTGTTCTGTAATAGCCCACCGTATTCTAGTAAGCTTAGAGTAGTATATAAGTAGAGAACGGCTTGACCAGGTCAAGTACGAACCCTCTATCCAGAACCACCACCTAGCAATTTACATCTACCTACTACCTACCCCCAATCAAATAGTTCTTTCATTTCATTCACTGTGTGAACCCTTTTTGCTTGAATCTACCTACTAGTCACTGTAAGACAATCGACTCCCTAGTACCTACAGACAAAGAAACCTACCTGTACGCCTGACCGATACTCAACGGAGTATTGTACGACCCTGAGTAAGCCAACTAAAGTGTCGATAAGCTTGTCCACCCACGAAGGGTCTGCCAAGTTATCCCCGACTTTATTGCTCCTTGCCTCAGACTCGCCAGACTGCACGCCAAGCCTCTACGTCTCAAACGTCTAGTTAGACAACCGTCTTACTTTGCCCGTTTCGCACCCCTTTCAAGCTCACGCCGGTCGTATCAACACTTCAAGTCATCGTACCACCATACGCTAGTCGTATAACTCAATCTACATTCTCCTGCGCAGGCCGTAGCACCACGCAACACCCCACCTCACCCATACTCCTGAGTCCATCCTACCCTTGACACTTGACCAACCATCCCTGACCGTCCCTCGACCGTCAGATCGCACAATCCAGCTAAGCTCATCCTCCGAACCGCCAGGAACGTCTGGAACACCTGTGAAACCCGACCAACTTGGGGAGCGTCTTTACTCCTGATTCACCCTCGGCCAACCCAAGTAACCCCCTACCACTTCACAACTTTTTCTCACTAAACCGCTCCGCCCCGCGACACCGTGTGCATGTTGTACACCCTCCCTGCGGGTGCTTCGAAAACTTGTGAAGTCTTGAGCCGAATGGCGAGTCCGAATCGCGCATGTCGCATGCGTTCACTCTCGTTCCCCGTCCCGCCGCGCCGTTGTACCCCTCTCCATCCCTCTCCCGACGTGCCCGACTCCTCCTCTTCGTCCTTTCCGCCGTCCGCTCTCCTACTCCTCCCCCTCCTCTCCCCGCTCGTCCGCCTTCTCCTGCTCAACTTCCCGTTCTTCGTCCTCCTGAGCTTATATGGCTGGACTCAATCAACAATGCCATCGCACTTACTCTCGAGATTGCCTCTGGCGTCTGCGCACTCTTCTACGTTCTTACCAGCGTTCTTCCATTGCTAGACCCGAACCGTCTGTACCGCGCGCATCTTGTGGCGCCGACGTGCATCGCTGGAGAGTACCGACGGCGAACAAAGATCACCGAAGCTTGATGTACGTGGGCGGCTACCAATATGGATCAATGTCATCCCTGATTCCCAGTATAGCGTGTGCGGGCGCGCATGTTGTGCACAGCCCCAACAACGCAACCCATACAGTTTGTCCCGCAGCCGTAGTCAACGTGGACATTTCTCAGCCTAGCGCTCTGACCGTGCCCGCCGTACGATCCAGGATCATGTGAGGCAAGTTCAAGTTCCTTCTTACCTTACGCCTTGAACCTAAAGTCCTATACGCTCGCCAGCTCATCGTATGAAACGCTCTGCTGAGCCTTCTGCGCGACATCGGGAAGGGGTTCGGACCCAGCCTTCGCCCACGAAACGATTGCGGTCCATCCTAGGCGGCTCGGGAGCTTCCACGTTCACCAGGAGTGCCACTACGTCTCAGCTTTCGAAGACTACCCTCACGTTCTCTCATGCCAAGAACGTTCGCGTACCGCTCCCTCAAACTTGGTCAGGGCAAGAGGCGCGCACACCGCGCGAATACTGCGGGCCTGGTGGTAAATCTACTCTGGGCTCGCGCGTGCTCGATGGACTGGGTCAGGAGAAACTGGGGCGCGCTTTCCAGCGTCCTTTCGGCGGTGTTGCTCTCCAGGACGCAGTCCGCGGAAGTACAGGTGAATGGCACTTACGACTGGCGCCAAGCGCTGACCGCTGACCGTGTACACAAGCGCTCGATAGTCGGCATGAAGCAGGTGATACTGGCGATGGCGGGTGCACTCCTGCGGAAGATCTCTCACAGGAAGAACAAATAGCACCCAAAGAACCGGAGAAGCGACTCAGAAACCTGTTCACGGCAAGTTACAGGTCTTCCTATGCAAACAGTGACATTGACGCCCTTACTCAGGACTTCCCCATTCTCAGATGGACATTGCTATGGCGAGAGGTGTTCCTGAATGAGGTCGTAAGGTTGGACGGGCGCGCCGATGCGTTGAACATGAAGAAATGCCCGGATTGCGGTAACGAGGGATTTCCTGAGTACCGGTGTCAAGATTGCCAGGGGGCTCACCTTTGCGCGGCTTGCATGAAACGCTGGCACCGGTACAATCCTCTTCACAACATCGAGGTAAGATGGAGATTAATGGTCTCGCAAGAGGTCAATCTAACATGAGTGGTAGCGATACGACGGCTCCTTTTATCGACAAATCAAGGCGGCAGATCTCGACATACGTATACAACTGTTACACCCCCCGGGCGAAGTCTGTAGCTTTCGTGCGACGCATCAGGTTGGCGCTTTCACTATCATACATACGAACGGCATACATGACATACCTGTGGACTTCTGCGGCTGCGACAGAGGCGCGGAGATACCCTACCATGTTCAGCTCATGCGTCACCGTCTTTGGCCTGCAACGTGTGTTGAGCCAAAGACCGCTACTACTCACGAGGCCCTAGATCAGTTCACTCGTCTATCGTTGATTGGACGACTGAATGTGTACGACTACTATCAAGCCCTGGAATCCGCCACCGATGGCGCTGGGATCTTCGACGTTGCAGTAAGTTCCTGGATTCCAAGCCTTGCTGTTGCTAGTCAAAAAACTTGGACAGAGTGTTCGCCAACAACTCGCCACCTGTGTACGACAATTTCGCCACGTATTCCTGTTCAAGCGAACGGGTCGCGGTCATGAATCGGGCGGTATTGCTGCTACGCCTTTGGGCGCCTGTGCACTACGCTGCCCCGCTTGTCCGAACTTTGACTTGAACGTACCGTTAGATTGGGCTACTAGGCCATTTCGGTGTGTATCATCTATGCACTCATGAATACAAGCACTAAGATCTGTCATCAATCAGCTGGCTCTACAGAGTCATACTATCCCTGGATGCCAACTTTCGACTGAATAACAAACTCACGCGCTCTAAGGATTGGATGGATCCAAACCTAACAGACGGTTGCGCGTATATGGCGCCACGGAAAGAATACGCAGATTACATAAAGAAAACAGAGAAGGATGATTCTGTGCCAGAACCCGTATGTTATCGTGCCTACGACTGTAGACACAGTGCTGACTAAAGGTAGCCAAATGATTGCTCTCGATTCGGCGCGCTAGTGCTCGCCAACATGAAGGGCGGCAAAGGAATGCGAACAACAGGTATAGCTGGTTGTTTCTGTGCACGTCATGAGATCGTGCAAGCGCTAGGCATAGCTACACTCAAGAAGGGAGAGCGGTATGGTCCCACTATTCAGTCATACTTATCATTAACTGAAATCCACATAGCTACAGCACAATGGACTGGGTATTCTGCGGTGCGCTATCGTTCCTACGGTGCGCGGAGATCACGGTCTGCTACGACATCGCCTGCCAATGGAGCAAACGACTGCACGAGAGAGTAAGTAAGATGACGCCAAACTACGTCGTATTCTCTGGCGCCACAAAGTTCCTGCAGCATCACGCCAACAGAACAATCACCTATGTTGTTCCAAAGTTCCATCTATTCGCGCACAAGGTTTATTGTCAGCTGCGCTACGCTCTGGGTTTGTTATTTGGCGTCGGCATAACGGATGGCGAGACTGCTGAGCGTGTGTGGGCCGGCGCGAACCCTGCAGCGTCTAGCTTGCGTGAGATGGGCTCAGGAGGGATGAGCGATACCATGGATGATATGTGCAGTTCGTGGAATTGGATAAAGACCTGTGGAATAGGTGAGCAATACCACCAAACGGAATCGAGATACAAGCTGACGACAAATTTGTCTAGCTGATTTACTTTGCGAGCGGATGGATCGCGCACTGAGCGAAGGCGCCAAGCAGACGGCCATCTTCACGGAATTCACCGAGGCACTGGAGGCAGAAGAACCTACGAGAGTAGCTAAGGAACGGGCCGCTATCAGGACTTGGGAGCAAGATGCGATCAAGAAGGAGGGAACATCCTGCCCGTATCACATCGAGAAGACGCGTATGTGCTTACTTGGCACAGTTTCCTCCCCATATATATACTTAGGAGTTTACAGATTTATCTGTACCCGAAATCAGGCGACAGGCGCGAGAGGCGCAAGATTCTTCCAATCGACCTGCTGCAACGTTGGGCGTCGAGGACGAAGCTACGCTAACCGACTTTGTCTTACATGGGTTGATTATCGAAGAGAACAGGTATGTGGCGAACGCTGGTGCCTCGTTTACCCTTTTCATTTACTTGGCAAGGGCACGGTTCGCCACGAAATACAAGTCCGGCGGCGGGTCATATGTTCAAGCGACAGCTAGGACGAATGCGTTGAATGCGATTCGCCGCGACCTCATCAAGTTTCGCAAGCTACAGGCGTTATACACGCCGGACATCTTTGCCGCGTTGACGTCGGACGAGCGCAACCCGGACCGGTCTGCAGCGCTGACCGATGGACTGTACCTGCCATCAAACTTGTCCAAGGATGACGAGGGTCTCAACGCAGGCGAAGCAAAGATAGTGGAGATCAAGGTCAGGTGGGCATCGATGGAGGACGAACTGGATAACCTGCGGCACCAGTTGCGTCTCAGAGGTTGCATCAATAGGCACAAAGTGGCAAATGTCACCGGGCAGCGCAACAACACTCGCGCCCGAGAAGTTCAGGACGACATCGACGACTATGTTCAAAGAGCGGCGGATGCGTACCGGCGGCATCGAAAGGCCTATACAGCGCTGGTAGGGAAGGGCAAGTGGGAAGATACGATGAAAGAGTTGGAGAGGTCCGATTGTCGCGGGCTGGGCGATCGTCTCATCGAGCAGATTGAGAATATGTCCCTAGAGAGCGCTCGACAGTTTGTGGCAGGAAAGCGGGGCGCAGACTCGTCAGGAGAGACGGGGTATGAGTTGCCTTGGATTTGGTACAACCGGTCGGAGGAGCTCGGGTTGAAAATAACGGACGGTGAATCACTTCTGTGAATCTAGGACGTTCAGACCAATTCTTACCATTTCTTAAGAGCTCATGGTGGAATGGTGCAAAAGCCGTGCACGGGCGCAGCGTTGGGTGGAGGAAGTTCGCCTTCTCGACGAAGAGATGCGGCGCGTTGTCGCGTTCAACGAGAGTATGGCGTTAATTTGGGATGCCCGTCGCGAACCAGAAGATAGGATGGACTTCGGACTGAAGCATACGTACACGGTCGACGACGGTTGGGTTGACGGCGCTTGGGCTTATGCCTGCAAACAGGCATGGATTCGTCGTGCCCAGGCTTCAAAATGGACCGCACAGTTTACGGAACACCGGGCATCAGCCCAACGGTTCCTTTCTCTCCATACTACGGAAGGCGTATCAATAGTAGCACCGTAGATAGTAACCAGGAATTTGAAAGACGCGTATAGAATAGCGTGACGTTCACAGGAATGGTCTCAAATGTGCGGGAATGGACACGCGTGCCGCGTCGCGCTACGTCGGGTTTGGCTTCGGGGATCTTGGGAGCGCCAGTGCTTGGTATTGCATTAGCTGGGTATGCTTTGGCGTTAGGCAGGATCGTTTCTTTGCTAGGTTCCGGCTGGAACACGCAGTGTGCCTAGTATATCTAGACCGAACGCATCGGATCCAAGTAACAGCATCACCCCCTTTCCCACCGTTGAACCTCGTCAACGCACCGGGCAAGCGCGAGCGTGCGAGGCGCTTCCGCGGGCACTCAACGGCGGCGGGCAGGAGGGCGGATCACTTGGCTCGAACCACGATGTCCGGCCTTCGTCTTTCGCTGTCCAGACTTCTGCGCATACGGCTTCTTGACAGGAGCAACTTCGTGTTGTGTAAGGTCATCCTGCATGTATACGCAAAAGCGAGACGAGGCCCATTTGTTCTTGTTCCGCGGGCCGGTCGACAAGTGCTCCGCCGATATAGTGTCTCGTTTCACCGCCTACTCTTTCACCTTGCATACTGGCATTTTCCTGGTCCGCTATGCTCAAGCCCATTCATCTGTCTTCTGCGCGTGGGAAGCCCTCGCAGGACGAGTGTCAACGTTCTCGACGACGGCGACTGATGTCGCCTTCACTGCACTGCCAACCGAACTTCTTTGTGCGTACTGCTCTTCGTCTTCATCTCGGCAGGTCAACTCACTGACTGTAACCCGTAGCGATGTATTCACCGCGACGGCGACGCTCATCTCATACGGCTCTTGCTCGCACGAGCGAGGACGGACCGTTGCGCTCGACGTCGGTGAGTGTGTCTCCGCCGCTCCTGTCTCAGCAGTTGAAGTTCAACCCGCTGATTCTGAACGCAGCGATACATCTAATGCGACTGCGACGCTCATCCCATACGGCTCTTGCTCGCACGAGCCAGGACGGACCGCTGCGCTCGACGTCGGTGAGTGGGTCTCCGCCGCTCATGTCTCGGCAGTTGAAGTTCAACCCGCTGATTCTGAACGCAGCAACGCAGCGATACATCTAATGCGACTGCGACGCTCATCCCATACGGCTCTTGCTCGCACGAGCCAGGACGGACCGCTGCGCTCGACGTCGGTGAGTGGGTCTCCGCCGCTCATGTCTCAGCAGTTGAAGTTCAACCCGCTGATTCTGAACGCAGCAATACATCTAATGCGACTGCGATGCTAATCCCCTACATTTCTTGCCCGCATGAGCCAGGAGTACCATTCCGCTCGACGTCGGTGAGTGACTCGGCGGTGTCGCCGCTCACATCGCAGTCGGAGTTCACCTCGCTGATCTTGTACTCAGCGACGCATCTGCTTCCACGGTGACTGCGCGGTTCTTGCTCGCAGGAGCCAGAGGGGCCATCCGACTCCATGTCGGTGAGTGGCTGAGCGACGCCTCTTTCCTGAATGCTGAGCGCCTCGCAGAGTCCGATAGAGAACAAGTCAGGCATGATATCCTGTAGCTCTCGACTTCGCCATCTGCTTCACGCGGGGTCCAGCGCGCCTTCCAAGCTGGCATCGAGTGGGCTCTATCGTGTCGGTGGCGATTCTGGGCGAGGTGCGCTTGCATTTCTTGTGACGCTGCCATGCTAACCCTAACCCTACTCCAGTTACGCCGAGTCTGCCCTCTCCCTCGCCCCGCCGAACCCCCGCCGAACTCTACTCCACCACCCATCAATCATCCAGGCGTATGGACGGCGCGAAGATCTCTAGCTCTCAAAGCAAGCAAGGACCGTCGTGTTGACCTCGGCACCAAGAAGGTCGGATCCGCCTGTGTTCCGCCAACCTTGATGCGCCGACTGGGTGCTGCGCCTACCTCGGCTTCCTCGGCTGTGAGCACCTTCTAGGCAACTCGCGGCGACCGAGGCGGGCATCTTTGTAACTATTGCTCGGCACGGTGAGCGTCGTACGCACGCACCGCGCTCATCATGCTAACATCTTGATACAGGCTCGTGCTGTACCGAGAGTTCGTCCGGCCGTGGCGCTCGACATACAGCATCGGTTCAGCGTTTCTTCGTGAGCACCGTCCGCGGCGCACTCTCACTGGCCCACCGTTGGCGTGGCGTGGTTCCAGACGGTAAGCCGAATCTGCTCTCGGAGTCCTGCCAGTCTCTATTGATGCGCCATTCAAGGTTTGCACCGCCGAGGGCGCTTATCGTACAGGCACTCGGCGCCTCTTCACGTCGGGCCCGGACGTCGTTGAGAGCGATGTGCGTCGTGCACCTCGAGGATGCGGAGACTCTGCGCCCGCGACGTCAACATACGAAGCGAGCCGTTGAAGAGTGAGCAACGTAGCTCGTCCAGACCTTCGAGCGCGAGCCGCAATGCAGCTCAACGGGGCCTTACGACAGGTTGTATGCGCCCGCGTCTATGGGCGCATCACGAACCATGACTGTTGTATCCGTTTCGGACCCGGTGGCATGCTGTCTGTGGCGTTTGTGTGAGAGCGACTTGCTTTCCCGTGTAACACGTAGTCGATATAGTTTGTATGTACTTCACCCATATGCCGAATGACATGCTTTTTGCTCTTTGCCGCCTGAACTGTAGTTTACCGACGAATCTAGCGGTCCACTCAGCGAGGCGGCGAGAAAAGGTGAGCCTACCTCAGCGTCTAAGTCTATAATGTCTAAATCTCAGATCCAGATCGTATTCGCGTAACGAGGCGCTTGACGCCAATTCATTCGCCCGTGCTGCACAGACCTCGGTCGATGCCGTGCAGGGGGTCAAATCGCAGGCTCATTTTCTATCCAACGCGCCGGCCTGTCAAAACCAACTTCCCGCGTACTTGTCGCAATCTCCTTGGCCCTGAGCAACTGAATGAGCAAGTATTTGTCCTCTCTGTGTGATCTCCTAGGCCATCTTTGGTCCAGGCTCCGCGGCTGTACAGCGAGAACAGACCGTATCAGGCGGGCTTCTAAACAGACTGCCTCTTTCCTTTACTGACGATTTCTTGATCGCCGTATTACTCTGTGGCGCGCGAATCGAGTAAGGTCGTTGTTGCGATTGTTGCCAACCTTGTTGGTGGTCAATCCCTCGACCCTCTTTGCCGTACGCGCTCTTCCGCCCCCTCCTGCCGAGCACCCTTCCCGGCCGTACCTATTTCTTTCATACAGGCTGCACTCGACGTACAAGGTGCGCTATCTGGCCAACGGCGGATTGTACGACGTTGGCTTAAACTCTCACAGCCTTGAACTACGCGACATGTCCGACCCCATCCCGCTCGAGACGTACGCAGACCCGGACACATTCGGTGTGCCCTTCTTCCAATCTTACGGGCTCACGGTATATCTAACCTTGATGTACAGGGCTCAAGCGCGACTTTCGCAGGCTCGGTACGGCATTGGGTCGAAGCCGTCCTTCGCAGCAGGCAGCTGGAGGCGCTGGAAACGCGACAGCACCCGTCAACATCCGTGCAGGCGCTGGCGAGCGAGCACCCCGCTCGCTTCTCGAGAAGACGTGGGCCTACATCGAGATGCATGTTTGCTGCGGGGGCGGCGCGGGCGTAGAGTGAAGTAATGGGATCGGCGGGGCCGTCCATCCACAAGCGCTCAGGTGCGTCGTTTGAACTATGTGTATTGCTTCACTATCCTCATGCACTCTAGCGCATTGAACATACGTTTCAAAGTTATCTGTTGCTGCCATTCATCACCCCCCAAAAGCTTTCCAAACCCCCAACTCTCGACCCGTCACAGTGCAACGCCATCTCACATCTCCTGCATCTTGTCCTTGTCCCACATAACTGCTTTGATATACAGCTCTTCTTGCATCACCCTTACACATACGACATCCCTAATACAACAAGCCTCAATACATCTCCGTTTTCGTATGTACATATACACTCGTCA